GACTCAATACTCTCTCTAAATCCTCTTTTGACAAAATATTATTAAAAATTTAGGTTATCCATATGTCACGACTCAAGTTCCACACTCTTGATAATGTTAATGTGGTTGTACGGGCAGTAGGCAACAATTCGGGCCAAGGGAGATGCACGTGGATTCCAGTCAGGACCTTCCCTCTATAGAGCTTTATTTAGCTCTAGGATAATATTTATAGTAAACACCATTCCTAATAACATAATAATGGTCTGTTTAGAGGCCCAAATGAAGTTTAAATGGGCCCACACTTGCAGACCTATCATTTTTAGGTCAATGAACATCATGGTGAAGTTAGATTTTTGATACTGGGTCGAACAATGTCTAGCTTGCACTCCAAGGTTTGGGAAACACCTAGGTGCTTCTAGAATTTTATAGGGCAATCTTTTACATATTCTATGTGCTAGAATTGTATTTTCAGAAAAAAAAAGTGTTAGAATTGTGTAGAACTCTCCGGAATCTTGTATAAAAGAGTCATGTACTTAGAATGGTATGGAATCTTCTAGGACCTTTGTGTGTAGAACCCTCTTTGAGGAGGTTAAGAACATTCTAGGAAGGAATGTTCTAGACTGTAAGAAGGTCTATAAATAGGAAGCCCCCTAATTATTATATCATCCAAGCAATAATAAACTCTCTCTCAAGCTTAATAAAAGCATTCCATCACAAACCTCTCTCTTACACACGCACTTTCTTACTTGTGCCTTTAAACTTTCCTCACTTAACTAAGTAGTATCATCACTAAGCCCTAAGCGTTGAATAGAGTCTAATGGGTGGTGATTCTAGTAGGCCGCGTGCAAAAGATGAAGTGAGAATAGTCAACACGTGGCACAAACCTTACTTTTGCCTCAAATGTCTCTTTTTGTCCCAACCTCTCCTAATCATAAACTCCCATTGTCTAATTTATCTATTCAATTCAAGTTGTTTGACATTTCTCAAAAATATCAAGTATGTTTCATTGGTTTGAACCAACAACATTATGCACTTTCACATCACTTCAATTTAAACTTATAAAAGTGACTCGTTACTATCATCTTATGTAATATGATATAAATCTTATAATTTCGACCAATATTTTATCATCATAGGAAAGAGGCGATTGTCATCATGACAATGTAAAATCCTGCTTGTAGAATTTTGTATTCTAGTTCAGCAATCTTTTGGACATGTACTTGCATATAGTAAAAATTAAATTCTTTCCATATGATCGATCTACTTATTTGAAAAGGGTTTTCATTTGATAAAAGTAACCTAACTTGTTAGATACATCTATTATTAGGTAACTCCAAATTGTAGTTATGTCTATTCTCTATAAAATTTACAAGAAGTGGTAAAACGTACATCATCAAAAACATGAGAACAAAAAAATTAAAGATATTAAGTTGATCTCACAAACCAAGGAATTACAAATAAAGTGTCAAATTAAAGATATAATGTGACACTACTATCAGTTGATATGTATTTTTCATCGTTTACCATCATCAATCACTTCATTCTATCTGTATAACCACGACGATGACCACTACCGTTTTTTTACATACAAAAATATTCGTTATTATCGTGAGTTACATTTAACAAATTAGATATATGAGCATTTAAAGTAAATGCTCTAAATTAATAGCAAGCAAGGAAACTCCATGCTTTATAACAAACCAAATGTGGATTTTCTAAATAGTATTCTGGTGTCTTTGAACATTTTCTTCTTTAATATCAAATTCATCAAATTTCTTATTGGTTTCTCATTAAATTTGAGGATATATATTGCTTGTGATTTTGAGAAAATAAATTAAGAACATTGATAATTTTGTAAATTTTTTATTATTGGAGTGTTTGCAATTGTGGCTATTGAATTGAATTTGTAGATGGATTTCTTATCCGTCCTTTATAAAAATGACTAAAGTTGAGTGTGTTTGATAAAGTATAATCAAAATCATCTTAGAATCCACATTTTATACAATGAAAAATATTAGAATTATTATGAAGATATTTGGGAATATATATTACTTCATATAATTAATTATAAGATTTGTTTGAGTTGTGATTTTACTATGTGATATTTATATATTATCACATCTCTAAATATTATCATTAGGTATTGTCTTGTATTATATATTTATTGACTCGATCAATGAAACCCCCGGTAAGTGTAGAGCCCTTAAGTTACCAAATTCTACATGTTATTAGTTGTTCAGGAATATTAAACCACAAACACCATGGTTGGTGATGATACCGCCACCACCGCCTCCATGCATACACATTATATGATTATTTAACCCTATTAACTTGATCTTCAAGACCAACATGGAGATTTCATCACTTCAACCCTTCGATCTCCATGTTAATGGAATAACTACAATAAATGGGCCGGTGATATGCAAACCACGTTAGAGGAATGTTAGTTGAGACGAACACTACAAGAGGGGGGGGGGGGTGAATTGTAGGTGAGTTCCTAGTGACTACTTTTTCAAATATAAAACAGAATAAAATAGGAACTTGCAATGCACACAGGAATTTACGAGGAAACCTTCTAGTGCCCAACTAGAAGTAAAACCTCGACCCTACCTTAGGGATTTCGAACACAAACAATTTCACTATAATAGGGCAAACACCAAGTTACAACCTATTATAATCAAACCTCTACTCACAAGTTCCTGAACGAACCTGCTACAGAATAGGATTCTATTCTACCCAGTCTAAGTCCCACACTCAGACTCTCTCTCGTACTCCCTAAGCACAGGTCTTCTCAACTTCTCAACAGAAGCTCTCTCTCTGTATGCAATGATAACAAAAACACTCTCACCCAAATAACCCAAACCAAGTAAAGACACCTAGTATATGATCGGCAAGCTATGCATGAAACCTGAAACTAATATGACAAGATGATAAACTTGGCAAACTTACACAATTAAAGCTCTGTAAATTCTTCACGCATAAAACTCACAAATAACCTGAACTCCTTTTTCTCTACTATTTATACAAGTATTACTTGTACAACAAGTAGGTTTTCTTAAAGATAAATAAGTTAAACTTAACTTATTTTTATACATGGTTTTCATGTAAATCATTAGAAGAAAATCTTTTCCGAAAAATAAGATAGAAAGATTAAGTTAAAAAGCATAATATCTTTTTAACAAACTGATTTTAAGAAATAAACATTTAAAGAAAATCTTTTTTCGAATTCTATCTTTTATCTTTTCCGATTTTAATTAATTTGCCAAGCTAACTTGTCACGCTTCTAATAGACTTCATGCATATCCTACTTAACATATTTAACAATGAATCTAGAAGATAAAATCTTTAACTAAATCATTGCTGCACCGCACTCCTATACTGGTAGGTTTACTTGGGCTCCACGCTTACTAAGTTCCTCCAAAGATCTTAGCCAGCCATCTTCAAGTTCCTGTAAAGGAACGTTCCTGTTAGGGAACTCAGTTCCTGTGAGGGAACACTTCTTCTGTTTCGAATAACCTTCTTGAATAAAGAACTTCTTCAAGTCTTCTTAGTTTCAGTTACATCTTTCATCTCCAAGATCAATTTCACCTAAACTAAACAAACACTTGAAAATCCTTTATTAAATGAGTTTGCTGTAGTTTAAGTTCCTCATCATCAAAACCTTTAAACATCAACAATTTTCCCCTTTTTGATGATGACAAACTTAAGCAAACTCTAGAGAAATTTAAAACAAAATAGAAGGACGTATTTTTGTATTTTTGATTTATAAACAAAAAAGTAAGCACACAACTGAATTAAAAACAGAAAACAAAAATAACTAAGAAAGAAAGTAAACTAATAATCTATCAGCATCATATCAGAAGAAAGTTCTGATACTTTATCAAATGGAACCTAGAACAACTTCAGCCTCCATGTTTGCTTCTTCTTTTCCCCCTTTTGGCATTATAAAAAAGTCCTGCTTTTTCAAGTGTATTAAGCATCTATGCATAGCCCCACAAGCAATTCATCGAGTTTGGGAAACTAAAGGAAGCGCTGCTAAACAACCTCAAGTAAGTTCTACCCTTCAGCATAAGTGTTCAAAATACACATAAACACACAAGTATAAGCAGAGTTCCAACATTTCATTAAAGACCAAAAAGATTTATCATCCAGTTGAACAATTTAGAAAATTTACAAACAAAATTAATTGTTCAAATACTAAAAACAGAAATTAAAATTGTTCATGACTGAAACAGAGAAAATAGGCTAGGCTGAATATGAAATAGGGCAGGCTAGGTTTCAAGGAACTCCAGAATTTTCTTGAAGTCCTCCTTTGTCTGTTGTGCAGAGGTCTCCAAATTTTCTTCAACACCCTTGAGTTTCACCAGGAACTCCTCCTTCTGTTCCTGTAGAGACTTGTTCAGTTCTTGCTCTTGAAACTCCTTTTGCTCTTGAAGTTCCTTGTTTTGTTTTAGCACCATCATCCTGAGTTCCTTTAACTCCTTCCCCTGCTCCTGTACCAACTTTTCCAGGGTCAACACTTGAAGCTTTCCAGCAGAATCCTTCATTTGACTTTTAACCCGTTCCATTCTATCCACTAACTCAGCAACTTGCCCATTGAGGATATCTTCCTCAGCATCCAACTCCAGTGGCTGTTCCATACTGGTTTGAGGAACATCACTGGCAGAAATCCTCCTGCTCTTTCTCACAGGCTGCTCAGATACAACCTTTTCCTTCCTCTTCCCTGTCACTTTCTCTTTCTTTTTCTCTCCCTTCTCTATTTTCTGAATTTTTCCTTGCACCACTTCCAAACTTAACCCAGCCAGGGTTTCCTCATTAATCACATTTTCTGGCTTTTCATCCAAAGCCCCATATTAACCCTTCAGAACTACTCCAGCATTCTCAAATACAGTGGACAAAATGGCTCCATACCCCACTTTTGTCCTACTGGGAACACAGTGTGCTAAGTGCTGGTACATTAAAGAAGGAAAATTGACCTTAATCTTCTTTGAAATACAAAAAATTACTTCCATATCCATCAATCATGCTTCCCCCTTTTTAGCAGTCCTAGGCAGAATAGTCTTCTTTACCAAATTAAACAACAACTTGTTTAAGGGACTAAGATCATTATGACTCATGACCTTCTTCCCTCTCTGACCACCTAAGGCCTCAACAATATCACCAGTCAAATATCTACCTACATTTACACTTCCCTTTCCCTTAATATAAGTGTCATACCCCTCAGTAGGAGTTTTCAGAATTTTACCAAGGGTTTCAATGTTCAATTCGATTTTTACTCCATTAACGACACTTGAAATTATCCCTAATTTTGCTTGAAAGTTTTGGCAAAATTCAGTCATAGCTACAGGGTACATATAATTTGCTGACACTCTTGACAACAGAAATTCCCAACCTTGAAACTTATTTAAATCAAGAAATTCGAGAAATCTTGCTTTACTACACCAAACAACATCAATGCGATGACCAACTACATACCTTCCAGCCTGTGACTCAAGTTCCGCTTGATCAGTCACTTCCTCTTCTTCATCTTCCTTTTCAGATTCTTCCTTTTCTGAATTGTTCTCCTCCTCTTTATCTTCTTCTTCTCCCTCACTCATCTCTTCTTCTACTTTGTTCTCCTTTGTTGTCTCGTTTGAGTTTTTCCCTTGAGCAAACTCGTCAACTTCCTCAATTTGCTCTTCAAGAGATTTTTCACTTTTTTTCTTTTCTTTCCACTCTTTTAGTCGTTGAAGAATGCTTGAAACAGAGGAATCTCCTTGATCGCTTTTACTTTCAACTTCTTTTGGTTTTGGAGGAGATTTCCTAGGGTTTTCGGGAGTTTTGTTTGACATAGAAGATGATTTGTAGTTTACAATGGCTAAGGGAGAAGTTTCTTCTTGAATAGTGTTTTCAGAGTGTTGTGATTCTTTTGAGGAAATAAATTCAGCAATAATCACCATTGATGCTTTAGGAAAGGTTTTTATGCAAGGTTGAAAAAGTTTTTACTGGGAAGGGTTTAATTTGATTTGACAGTGAGGTGAAAGAAGTGGGTGAAATCAACTTTTATAATAAATGAAGCGGTGTGAGGGAATTTAGGAAGTTTCACTGTTCAGTCATTAATTGAACAATTTCAATTAATTTTTCAAATTTCAAATTACTGGATGATTCTTTCAAAAACTTAACTTTCCAAATTCAATTTATCTTAAACGAAGTTTCTATAAAACACAATTGGAACACGCTTTTTACGTATGTGCAATGTACAAATTTAATAACCTATACCGTTGAGCAAGTTAATGAACTTACCTTTGGTAGTTAACAACGGTGACACTTTAGCTATGTTTATCACACCAAGGTTGTGGTAGAAGCTTTTTTTTGCTTTATTTACATTATATTTGACTTTGCCATATCTTGGAACTTCAGAGGCTAGTACTTCAGCTTGATCATCCCAAGTTCCAGTCTCAATTTCTCAAATCTTTCTCTGTTCAAGGGCTTGGTTAGAATATCTGCAATTTGATTTTCAGTTTGACAAAATTCTAACTTTATATTCCCTTGCTCCACATTATCTTTTAGAAAGTGATGCCTAATGTGGATGTGTTTTACCTTTGAGTGTTGAACTGGATCCTTAGAAATACATATAGCACTAGTATTATCATAGTAAATAGGTACACATTCAAAAATAATTCCAAAATCTCTGACCTGTTGTTTTATCCATAGAACTTGTGAGCAACATGCTGCTGCTGCCACATATTCAGCTTCTACAGTAGATAAAGCAACTGTGTTTTGCTTCTTGGAACCCCAAGAAACTAAACAGGGACCTAAAAATTGTACCATACCTGAAGTGCCTTTTCTATTAATCAAATCACCTGCATAGCCAGCATCAGTAAAACTATTTAAATCAAAAGAATCACTTCTGGGATAGAAGAGACTCAAATCCTTTCAAGTATCTTAGAATTCTTTTTACTGCAGTCAGGTGAGACTCCTTTGGATTTGCTTGGAACCTGGCACACAGACCTACACTAAAAGATATGTCAGGTCTGCTAGCTGTTAAGTAGAGTAGTGAGCCTATCATACCTCGATACATAGATTGATCAATGCAAGTTCCAGATGGATCTTCATCTAATCTAGTGGCAATTCCCATGGGAGTATTATTGGTTTTGGCATTTTCCAACTTGTATTTCTTGATCAGTTCCTTAATATATTTTTGCTGATGAATCATGATTCCCTCTTCAGTTTGCTTGATTTGCAGGCCAAGGAAGAAATTTAATTCTCCAGTCATGCTCATTTCAAATTCTCCACTCATAAGGTCAGCAAAATACTTGCATAGAGATTCGTTAGTTGCACCAAATAAAATATCATCAACATAAATTTGTACAACTAAGATATCAGTTCCATTTGACTTTAAAAACAAGTTTTATCAATTTTACCACGTTTAAAACCATTAGCCAAAAGGAACTTAGACAATCTTTCATACCATTCTCTAGGAGCTTGTTTTAACCCATAAAGAGCTTTGTCAAGCTTATAGACATGGTTTGGGAACTCTGGATTTTCAAACCCAGGAGGCTGTTCCACATAGACTTCCTCATTTAGATATCCATTTAAGAAATCACATTTAACATCCATCTGGTACAACCGAAATCCCATATAAGCAACAAAGGCAATAAGTAAACGAATAGCCTCTAACCTGGCTACTGGAGCAAATGTCTCTTCATAGTCTATTCCTTCCTGCTGGTTGAAACCTTGTACAACTAGTCTTTCTTTGTTCCTGACAATAATACCATGTTCATCTAGTTTGTTTCTGAATACCCATTTTAGTCCAATGGACTTCTTATCTTTTGGTCTAGGTTCCAGATGCCAAACTTTATTTCTTTCAAATTCATTTAATTCAGCCTGCATAGCATTAATCCAGTCAGCGTCAGTTAAAGCTTCAACATAATCCTTAGGTTCCATGGAGGAAAGGAATGCACTGAATGCACAGAAGTTCCTAACTGAGATCTGGTTTGAGTTCCTTTTGTGATATCACTCATGATTACATCAAATGGATGTGATTTCTGATATTTCCAAGGCCTTGGAGTGAAATCCTTGATTGGATACAATTTTTCTTCATCATTGTTGACTGGTTCTTCTGTAAGAACTTGTTCATGGAACTCAGTTTGAACTTCTTCAGGTGTTTCCACATTCTGGTCTTCATTATGGACATCAGTCTGTTCTTGAAGTGGAGTTCCTGGTGCATTCTCCATCTCAGGTTCAGCATTTGCTTCAGGATTCGTTACTTCAACAATTTCAACTTGCTGCTTCTGTTGTGATGCTGGTTCCTCACCTGGTTTCTGCTTACGCACAAGTCCAATTTCGAAATCATCATCACAATCCTGTACATCAACCAAATGTTCAGTTTCATCAAATATAATATGTACAGACTCCTCAACACACATAGTCCTTTTATTATAGACTCTGTAAGCTTTAATATTCGAGGCATATCCTAGGAATACTGCCTCATCACTACGTTCATCAAATTTACCCCGGTTCCTTTTACCATTATTGTGAACAAATCATTTACATCCAAAAGATCTAAAATAGGAAATATTAGGCTTTCTCCCTTTCATAAGTTCATAGGGAGTTTTATTGGTGATGGCCCTAACAGATACTCTGTTAAGTATATAACATGTTGTGTTTACTGCTTCAGCCTAGAAGTTCCTAGGCAGCCTGCTTGATATCAGCATTGTCCTTGCCATGTCTTCAAGGCTCCTATTCTTGCGTTCCACCACTCCATTTTGTTGTGGAGTTCTTGGGGAAGAGAAGTTGTGATCCATACCATACTCAGTACAGAATTCATCAAATTTTGAATTCTCGAATTCTGTTCCATGATCTGATCTAAGATGTATCAATTGATTGCATGTTCTTCTCTGTTCTTTCTTTACAAAAGCAACAAACTCATCAAACGTTTCATCCTTACTTACAAGAAAGAAAACCCAAGTGAACCTTGAAAAATCATCAACAATAACCATTACATATTTCTTACCACTTCTACTTTGGATACTCATTGGACCACAGAGATCCATATGATTGAGTTCCAAAGGTCTTTTGGTACTTACCATCTTTTTGGACTTGAAGGAAATTCGGGTCTGTTTTCCTCTAGCACAAGCTTCACACACTTTGTCATACAAGAACTTAATGCAAGGAAGTCCTTCCACTAAGTTCTTAGATCTTATTTTATCAAGTAAAGAAAAGCTTGCATGGCCAAACCTTCTGTGCCATAAAAGAGGATCATCCTCAATAACACTAAGACATGTTAAACTGATGTTAGGAACCTCATTAAGGTCCACAATATATGTGTTCCCTTTACGAGTTCCTTCCAAAATAATGTTCCCAGTGTCATTGTGGATGATTCTACACTTATTGGAAGTAAAGCTAACAGAATTACCTTTGTCACAAAACTGTGAAATACTTAACAAATTGTGTTTGAGGCCCTCGACTAAAAATACATTATCAATGGCATGGGAACGTGACCTTCCTATCTTTCCAATAGCAATTATATCACCTTTCATATTATCACCAAAGGTCACTGTTCCACCATAGTAGGCATCCAGTGAGAGAAATCTAGATTTATCTCCAGTCATGTGCTTAGAACAACCACTTTCGAGGTACCAAGTGTTGTTCCCCCTGACTGGAACCTGCAAGAAGAATTAAACGTTAGAGTCAGGAACCCAGGTTTCCTTGGGTTCCTATGTAACAGGAGTTGATTCATTTTTCTTGATCCAGATTTGTTCTACATGTTTGACATTCTTTTGTGTGCTTTGTTTTTTCTTAGGACACTTAACCTGCTTATGTCCTGTATTGCCACAGAAATAACAAACCATGCTACTAGGCAAGTTGACATACTTCTTTTCTTTCTGGAACTTGTTTTTAAAACCTAAACCTTCAGTATTCTTGGTTTGAGCCTTAGTAATCCAATCAAGAACTCTATACTCTATTGGTTGCTTACCTTTCCTAGCTCTCTCAAGTTCCCCCTCAAGACGTGCCTTATCCGTTTTTAAATCTTCCAAATCATGTTTTAATTTTTCAAAATTCGGATAATCAGTAGGTGGAGGAACTTCAGAGTTAGGAGCATCGACACTAAGTTTTAACAAAGACAATTCCACATTCAGGAATATGTTATCTTGTTTCAGATTCTCTATAGTCTCTTTTAAATTTTTATTATCATCAAACAAACTAAAGAACCTGTATTGAATGTCAAACTTCATGTTATCAACCCATTCACTGTTCTCTTTGTAAGTAACTAAAGCTTTATCACTTTGCTGTTTGGATCTATGTAATTCCTTTAAATCTTCTTGAATTTCCAAAACAGTATTTATTAGATTCTCTTTAGACTGATGTTTTAATTGATTGTAAGAGAACCATACCTCAGACTCAAGCTCCTTTAGTTTGGCAGCTTCATCAGTTTTTGCCATCAAACATAAATGAGCAGTTTCTTCTAATGGTTGGTCCTCCTCTTCTTCTGAATCTGTATCTCCCCAAGCAGCTAGCATAGCTTTCTTCACATTTTCCTTGGTGAAGTACGACTTATAGACTTTTGATTCTTTGGATTGCTCTTTGCCTTTTGTCTTTCCTTTCTCTCCATCTTGTACAGGGCAATCCTTAATGAAGTGATATTTTGACCCACACCTGAAGCACGTTGAGTTTCTGGAACTTGTGAACTTCTTGTTCCTGTCGAACTTCTTATTATTCATCATCTTTTTAAATTTCCTCACTAGCATAGTCATCTCTTCCTCATCAACTTCCGATTCTTCTGAATCTTGAGCCTTAAGTGCAAGGCTTTTACTTCTGGAACTTTCAGTATTGGAACTCAGATGAAGTTCACGTGTCATCAATGATCCAGCTAGTTGTTCCATATTAAACTTGGTGAAATTCTTAGCTTCCTGCATAGCAGTAATCTTGGATCTCCAACGTTCATCTTGTGGTAGAC